AAATAGATAATAAATATTATAATAGACCCTAAAATGAATTCCCGATAATTAATCAATTAATTATAAATAATAATCCATTTTGCGTTGTTACACATGAAATAAATTATTATCAAAAATGAAAAATTCACCGTCAATCGCAAATTCGGTTATCATTATCTCCCCTCGAAATTATTTCACAATTTAAATCTCTCAAATCATGTCGCACGTTCACTTACTCAAAAATATGATTACGACAAAATCCCGCAATCAGAATAAAACAACAACCGTCGCGATATGATGAACGTTATTTTTCGATAAATAGCACGTTCAATTCTGACAAATCACTCACAGCAATTTAATGAAACCGAAACTCTCGAATCTTTTTATAAACAGGAAAAAAAAATCTCTTGATTATATTAATAATTCATCCGCGTGTAGAATAAAAATGAGTATAAAAGGATCATCTCACCAATGTCACCACAAAATCACCTAGCTTGTGACTCGATCATCAGCAAATTAAAACGTAAGTTTAATTAATTTAATTACCGATTAATAAATTATTGAATATTCCACGAATAAATTCGCAGAGAGAAGAATCTAGACGGAATAAAGACGTGAAAATGGAAGGAAAATTTGTTATTTTCATCGCCCTTTTCTGCTTCATTGGACTGGAAGCTGCTGAGCTCTCCTCCGAGGTTTTCAACGGCGAGAAGAATGTCGCTAAAAGACATACAGTTCTTGATGCAACCTGGCAGGCACCATATTCTCTACCATTACGTGTTTATTCAACTTACTCTTCGCCTGATGCACGTGTCTATCAACCACGTACTCCATCCTATATACAATCTCCACAGATACCAGCTAGTCCTTACGCTAGCCCTTACGCTAGCCCTTACGCTAGCCCTTACGCTGTCCCTGTGGAGGTGCCAGTTGAATCTCCAAGAATCATTTATTCCCAGGCTCCACCATCTTATCGTCAAATTAGCTCCAAGCCCAGGGCTTATTCGGTAAATTCATTGTTTTTTTATCAATAATTTATTCATCTTCAATCTCTCAATTTTCGCCTGAACTCTGTGATATTGAATTATTTTTCACCGTTAATTTGATTTTTCATCGGACCTGTGGAGTAACGAATGAGTATATAAACAAATAAACAAGGAACCGCAGAGAACAAATAATCTAGAATAAATAATGAATAATGAATACCTGAGAATAATCGGATTATTTTATTTGCAGGATCGCGCCGATGCCCTCGCATCATACTACTACGGATTCAATTACTGAGAAATCAACAACCGAAATTCACAATATTTTTTTTAAATTTACAAGTCCGAGTATTTTAGCAGTAAAATTTAAACAAATACCACGAAATTCAACGGATTTAGCAATTCGTAACTGCAAATGATTTTTTTGAAGAATTTAAAAATACGAGGAATTCCTGTACCGACGATAGTATTCAAATTTCTGCACGACTCAGGTTTTCCATGGTTTCCCTAGAAGTCCCAGCTCAAATGGGGTGCAGCTCACAAAATAAAGATGACCCATGGCAAAAAATCTAGATTTATGAGAACAAAAGATAAATAAATAAATGAATCAAAATAATTTGTCAATTAATTACCCATTATTATTTTCTCCTCCGTTTTTCACTGTTTTCCAAACAATTACGAAAGATTTTCCTCGAGTGTTTTGCATTCCGGTTCAACGCAGCCAGAATCGGAAGAAGGAAATTAATTCTGGAGAACAAATAAATAAATTATGAATCAGCATAAAAGCTTGAGGTTCTGGTTAAGAGTAGTTCAGCAGTCTCTGCTCACCTGAATAAGATCGATGGGAATGGGACGAAAAATTGGATTGTACCTGATGGTGGTGTTGGTGTCTGGATCAGTCCACGGCTTTGTGACTGGGCGCAATAGAATCGATCAACATCATCATCTGGCATTACCTCTGACTCAATCAGAACTCCTCTCAGACTTTTATCTGGAACTTTATCCAGAACTCTATGTGCCTGGTTTGTCGTCTTTAAATCTTCCTCGAAAGTCTTGTCCAGCAC